CTTGTACTCTTCTACTGACTGTTACTGTGGATGAAGCTGGAGTTTTTTACAGGATTTCAAAATTCCAAGTCGTTTTACAGCTCTTTGCCATGGGATAAATGTCTGTTATACAAACTATTTTGACTAAAATATTTATGAAGTGTTTTAATTCAGGAATGACAGATACATCTCCTAGAAGAGAGATGGAACTGCATTACTTAGAGATACTTAATTATTTTTGTCTGTTGATATAAAAGCATCATTAAAATGTTTAAAAGGGAAAACTTGGAAATAGGTAGATGCAGATATAATCTTATAATGTAGGTAAAAAAAAAAAACATGAAAAATTTCTCTCTGTCTCTTTTTGCATTTACATATGTACAGATGTATATGTTTTGGTTACCTGATATCTCATCATATCCTGTATTTGTCTTATTTTGTTGATTGCAGCAAGTTCAACAAAGAATTTTAGATAATAAAAAAATAATCTCCCACTGCATCCTGCTTTCACAAGCTACTCATAAAGATATTGATGAGTGTTTCTCAAATCAAGACTTAAAAATATCCAGCAGAAAGCTGGACTCTACGAAACTCCTGTTTTAGCATCTCATGGCCTCCTTATTTTGAAAAATATCCTTTCAAGATTTGTCACTACAAATTAATCGAACCACTACTTGCTGTGCACCAAGTGGACATAATGAATTGTTGATCATGTGCCTCCTAAATACTCTAAAATACCTTTTAGGTTTTAGAAGATTGCATAGACTTCTTTCCTCTCTTGTCCTTTACTGCAGTGGGGTGGGAATAAAACAGTTAAATGACTTGGGCGTTTGCACATAAGCCATGTTTTCTGGGCTTGTGTTATTTGAACTGTCATCTGTGGAGAGCTAGTAGTTCGGAAGATTAGGTCACTTAGAGTCTCCTTACATGTCAGACAAGCATTCATATGTTTTCAAGAAAAAAAAAGAGGGTGTTCATAAGGAATAATTTTTTTTTTTTTTAATTAAAATAGTGCAGAATATCAAGATTGGATGAGATGGTCCTAGTTTCTTTTACAAAAGAGAATAAACCTTTAATCTTGTTCTACAGAATGTATTGCCTGTGTTGGTCAGGATTCAGTTGTATTTTGTCAGTCTGTAGCTTTCTAAAATGGTAGTAATTAAGATTAGATGCAGTACACCAGATGAGATTTTGCAAAGGCAGATTGGATGGAATAATTGCAAATTTGGTCTTAAATAAAACATTCCTGTTAATACATACCAGAAGAACACTGGTCCTCTGGAACTCTTGCAGTTCCTCAAAGCCTGATCTCATCTGCAAGTTTTCTAAGCATTTTAGATGACAATTTGTTATCTAATATAAATTAGCTCAGATTAGTTAAGGACAATCCCTTGTAGGGCTATTTTATATAAGTCCTCTCAGACTAACAGTGATCTTTGAAAAACTGCCCTTTGAGTAGCGGTTACCCCTCTTGTGTACTCATTTTATGATTATTTCAGCTAAGCACTATTGTTTTCTCATAAGAATGTCTCATGGGACACTATTAAAAGTCTTAATTACAGCAAAGTATATTGCACTATTGTTTCTCTGTTGCTCACTCAGCCTTGAAGTACAAACTAGATTGATCTGCCAAGAATAAATCAACCATATCAATGTTCTTGACAGCTTAGTAGCTTTCTGCTGATTTTTCAATTGTTTTCTTTAAAAAATGTTCAGCATGGTTCTAGTACCTTTTCTAGGTGCTCAAGTGTAAGGCTTCTAATTACTTTGGTCTTCCTTTCCTAGATACAGAAAGGCAATATTTGCTTTTTTGTCAGCCCTCTCACACCTTTCCCCATCCTCTCAAAGGTAATTACTGAGGGTTTGGATCCTTAAACCAGTAACCTGGTTGGCTATAACAAGTGTAAATAGTTTTTGCTTCTCTCTTGCCTTATTGTAACCTGTTCTGTTTTCCCAGTGCATAACACTATTGCAGTGTCTGTTAACTTTTCTCTGTACAGAAAGAAATGACATTTGACATGTCCTCTGCCAATTACTATTCTTTAAATAGCAGACCTGACCTGGTTTTGTTGTCCTAATGTGTTTCTATAGCCTTTTCTTACTTTTATGTCTCATAGTAGCCTATCAAGTAAGACTTGCAACTGGAAAATTAGTTGCTGCTACATAATCTTTGTTAGGCACATCTGTTTGTAAGGAAAGAGGACATCTGGAGTACTTCCATTCACTTGTAAAAAGCTGGGTTTTCACTGGTGGAAATGAAGGTCTGGAGTGGATAGATAGGAACAAGAAGCATTCAGCATTTCTAGAAGTTTGACTTGATTTAGGTTTGGAGTCTCTTGTGTTTCTGGCAGAGAGGAACTGGATTAATTTTAAGGAGCTATATCTGTGTTCATGCAAGAGTGGACAGCTGCACCCAGCTCAGAACAGCTCAAGAAATGAGAATCTTGTATTCTAAAATCTACTGGCAAAGGAATTGAAAAAAAGCATGAATGTGAAATAACTGGGAGGATAAAACAGTAACATAGAAACCAGTTAAGAGGCAGGCTAGAAGGCTAGATGACTTTTCTAGCTTGAACATCTGCAGTTCAACCTAGTAACTGTATCAAGTATTTTTTGTGGTAACAGGGTTGAAGTTTTTATGCACCTTTGACTTTGAAGAGATTTTAATCTCTCAGTTGTGTGCTTTTGAAAATGCTTTTCAGGCTTTCTCTTTTTTTTCTGCAAACTTTGTGTTTATATTCATCTTCCACTATGTTAAAAGGCAATAAAAAGAACAGGTGAACGGCAGAATTCCCTGGGAAAAACCGAAGAGAGCCCCATGTCAGTGATGCATGGGGAATACTGCCAACAAAAAGAGTCTATTTTTAAGCTGGAGTTTTTACAGGCATATTGCTTTTAGGCTTTGGTGGTTTTGGTTATGGGCTTTCTTTGTATGTGTGGTTTTTTTTATCTGCTGCAGACAAGAGGTCTGAGACAGCCCCTGTGAAGGAAGACTATTGTAAATTCTGAAATACTCTCTTCCTTCCTCCGGAGATTCCACTGGCGAAGCGATTCTGATAAAGTTTTCTCCACGCAGCTTCAGAGCTTCTGCCATGACAGGGATGAGCACTTATGAGCAGGAAGCTCATAAAATGACTTGAAAAAGTGAATCTCCAGGAAAAGGTGTAGGATTTTCTGCCTCCTGGCTCCAGAGAGGATATAAACTGATCTGGGGTTGTCTGTAATTTTTCTGTGTATACAATTATAACAGCCAGTCGATGTTTGAAGTGAAAAAAATAAGGCTCCTCTATCAAAACTAGATATTAGTTTGTATCAGGATAATGCTTACAGAACCTCTGTGAAATTAGGCCCTGCTGCATGGTGTACTGTACATGTTCATTAAAAGTACCAGTCTCTGTTATGTGGGTTTACAGTCTGAAGAACACAGACAGAAAGGTTGACAGACAGGAATTGTTTTCATTCCCAATTTACAGATGAGTCTCTGAGGTTAAAAAAAAGAGTTGTCGTGATTTGGTGCTACCTGGAACTCTCTGAAAGTCTGGTTGTTCTAAGCAAGGCTGGCCCAAACCTGGGCTTGCACAGTAAGTCTGTGGCATAGCCAAGAGTTAGCGTCATCTTTCCAGAGTTTCTTGATAGTTTGTGTTTCTAGCTTTGCTAGTTCACACCTGCTAGAAAGCATTCCTCTCTTTACAAATATTTGGTGTGTTGTTTTCAATCCCCACTCTATTCAGTAACTGGTTTTGACAAGCTTTCTAGTTATAATTGTTGCAATTTCTAGTAAACTCTTCTATTTTGATAGTAACTGAAGTTGTTTTAGAACATACTCTTTATCCTCTTTTCTGTGATGGATTCCTTTGGGCAGAGATTAAGATATGGCCACTTGACAAATACGTTTTTGTGGAAAAAAGTAGAAATTGATACCAGCTGAGTTACTAGGTTGGAATCCAAGAGCCACTGATTTTTATTCTGTAAGAATAGGCTGAGGCTCAAAAATAAGAACTCCAACATGCACTGTATATGCTATAACTATGCTTTAGAGATATGAAGTGGGTGCTACCCTGTGTCCTCATATCGTTGACAACCCTTGTCAAGTCCTTTGCATGTTTAGCCTTGCTAAACCTTACCAACAATGGTGAAACATTGTGCCTGGAATACCAGTTTGGCAACTGGACTGCCTGGTGGAGCCTCCACAGTAAGTGCCTGAGTGAACATGGAATAAAGAGTGGCATGACATGGCTGATCAGAGTGCAAGGAAATAATACCACTTTGTATTTATTGACCAAGGTTGGGAGTCCTGGGGAATGTGGAATCTGCAACAAGCATCTAGTGTCATGTCTTTGCACAAGGTTAAGGACCAAGCTAATGTGTCTGTTACTCGTGTTGCCTATTCCCTACTTGTATTCCTCAGCAGTACTTGTGAGACCTCCTGCAGAGATGTGAGAAATGAATATTTGGATATTCTCTTAAGTGAGAATACCCAAATCTATATTTCTGTACATACCATGGCAAGTCAATTGCCTTATCACCGAAGTGGTGTATGTGTGAAGACATGCATGAGGATCAAGGACTGGAGTGATGTCATGCTGCCAGAACACTATTGTGCGAGGAATTGGTGATCTTCATGCTTACTGCCTTCTCATGTATACAGGTGTACACTGAATAGCCTATGACTGCTTAACAAATCACTGTAGCAAAGTGTCCACAATTACTCAGGCATATGTCTCTGTACCATGGACACTGTGTGACTGCTCTATGCAGTAGTATAATTAATCAGTGTATACACAATAAATGTGCATTAATTCAGTACAAGACTATTGTCTTGTCCATCTGAAATATTATATGCACCTGTCCAGGAATTGTAACTCTGTTGAGGCAAGGCTATTGGAGGATACAGTCCAAGGGACTATTTGAAGCTAAGTTCACATTCCAAGCTTGACTGCTACAAGTGACTGATGAGTCTGTATTGTGAGCAAGACTCTAGACTAGAGTACTAGCAATCATGGGGCTGGCAGACCTTATCACAGATGAGAACTCTGTACAGGGTGCTGTGGTCCACAAGGAATGGCTTGTCCAGTGCTGCAGTTTCCATCTTTTACTCAGTTAAGCAGCTTTGAGTGTCAGTGCCTTTCTCACTGAGAACTGCAAAGCAGTATGCTAGGTAAAAAGTTGGAGTCTTTATCATTCATACAACTAACTCTAACCATCTCACTCCTTCCTGATATCCTGTAATTGTGTGTTGCTGTCAGTAAAACTATGTAATGTAGCACTTGGCAGTTTGTCAGCAGTGTGTCTTTGTGAGATGGTTGATTTGCCAACGGGAAGCATCAGGCTTAATATGTGGGAGTGCCAAATCCTCAGATTTTCCAAGAAATGCTTTTCCACGTGGAATTTCCCATGTCGTAGATGACAGGCCACTTGAGAGAATAAAAGGCTGTAGTAAAGGCAGGGGATTATGCAGTCCAGACACTTGGAGCTGAACTTATTCTTCAAGTCTGTATTCAGCAACTTAGCAACAGAAAGCAGACCCTGAGAAATACTACAGAAGACTTTTGACACCTGGCCACCACAGTCTGTGAGTATAAATGGAGTGTGTTTCTCTGTTTCATTGCTCAGCTAAAGGAAAATAGGATGATGGAATTCTGTGTTGGTGTTCTTTAAAATCTGTTTACATTTCAAAGCAATCTCAATGTTAAGAACTGGTTTAAAATAAATAATGTCCTAAAAATGGAAACCTTATTTAAGTCTTTAGAATAATTGTTAAAATATAGAAAAGATTGCATAGACAGTATTTTATACTGAATTGCAAAAAGTCAGTGTTCGTTCTTTACAAATGCATTCCTTTGATCTTTCATAGCTTTCTGCTTAAAAGAAAAACTCGGAAACATGATTTGCTTGTGGTTCCTATCTCTTCTTACTTATGGTAAGTAAGTGTTCTCTGTGTAAAAAAATAATTGGATGGTAATAGTAATGTGACTGCTCTGTCTCAGCTTAGAATTGGAATTTTTGAGCCTGACATGATTAACTTGAGGCTAGGTTCACACAGAAAAACCTAGTCTGCTAAGCTTTGTGTGATCGGACATAGTTTCACAGGCTGAAGTCCCTGCCCTTAATGCTGACAGCCCTGTTTTGGAGCTTGCCAATTGGTTGTTTCTAAAACAACTGCCACCTTTTGTCTAGTTTCAGAGATGGACGAGTTTGCAATGGTTGTAGAACTTTTGCCTGCTCTCTAGAAGAGGATATGTAAACATCAGACACCAACTTTTTGACATCTTTTCGTTCTAGGGCTTACACTACTGCAGGGGGCAAATGGTTGGACATACCATTATTCAGACACAAACATGACCTACAGAGAAGCAGAGCAGTGGTGCAAAAAGAGATATACTAACATGGTTGCCATTCAGAATAAGGAGGAAATCAACTATCTCAATAACTTCTTACCCTTCAATCCGGGTTACTACTGGATTGGAATCAGAAAAATTAATGAGGTATGGACCTGGATTGGAACTAACAAAGAACTGACAGAAGAGGCAAAAAACTGGGCTTCAGGTGAGCCAAATGGCAAAGGGAACAACGAGGACTGCGTTGAAATCTACATTAAAAGAGGGAAGGATGATGGAAAATGGAATGACGAAAAGTGTGAGAAAAAGAAGGTTGCCTTGTGCTACACAGGTATGGTGTGATAAAGGCTATTCTAGTATGCTTTTGTGGAGATGAGGTGGTGGGTGGGATGAGTTGTTTATAAGCACTTGTATGATTATCCTTGCTACAGAGCTGAGATTGTTCTTGTTCCAAGAGCTGGATTGATCTCACTTACTTTTTAGCTCCCAGAATATTATGCATCTTTTGTGAGCAAGTCACCAGACCTCTATAGTCAGTGAAGAGAAATAGACTCTTCAGGATGGTGACTTTCATCCCACTCTCAAGTGGATGTCTCAGCTAGATAAGAATTGACCTTTAGGAGGCATCTGTCTGCTGATTCTAGATCACTGGATTAGATTAGATGCTGTGTGTAAAATCTAAGCTACTTTGTATAGAGGTGGTTAAGGCAAAAAAAAAAAAATTAGTCAAATATCAGCCAAATTAGAACTGTGGTGAGCTCATTAAGAATGGACCTGTTGAGGATTTCTACCTATGCCATAACATATTGTTCCTTTTGCACTTTAAATATTGCTATTATCTACCTGAGAACAAGTAGGTCATGGAGTTTCCAGCCAATAGAATCCTTTCACTGTGAGCTAGTCTGTCAAAGGTATTTTTTTTTCTGAAATCCTTTTGTGAAATGACAGGGTAATCTTATGGACTAAACCCCCTGCTTTTCTTTTGCTATGCCAGAAAGATAAGCAAAGTGCTAGCCAGGTTTCATTAGTGGCCATTGCCGATTCTTTTAGAAGTTGCCATATTTTTTTTTTTTTTTTTTTCCCAGCTTCTTGCAACCCATCTCTCTGCAGTGGCCGTGGAGAATGCATAGAGACTATTAATAATCACAGCTGCAATTGTAACCCTGGATTCTATGGGCCAGAATGCGAGTTTGGTAAGATTACCCCGTCCTGCTTTTCAGCCAGGGCAATGCTCATGGTAGTCAGTGTTCAGTATGGCTGGCTTGTTGATATACCAGCTCAGCCAATGAGACTGTATATCTGGTGTTTCTTTGAAGTTGAGAGCTGTGATCCACTAAAGAAACCTGATCATGGGAGCCTTGCGTGCAACCATCCATTGGAGAACTTCAGCTACAACTCATCCTGCACAGTTCAGTGTGAGGAAGGCTATGAATTGACTGCATTGGCATCTGTGTACTGTACCTCTTCTGGGATCTGGTCTGCCTCCCTTGCAGCATGCAAAGGTGAGCTTTCTACATTATATATACCTTTGAACATCAATGTTGCTCTGTTAGTAGTGACAAACTGAAGTTCTGGCTCATTCCTTTGTGGAATTAATTACATGATGAAAGTGCTATTTTATTGCAGCACACAGGTTTCTGTTCCTGAAGAGATGGACAGGATGAATGTTCTGGCCCTGGTCTAGATTTCCGTGTAGGGAAAGACTTTCCCTTCTCTTACTGGGAAACAGGGAATGGAGATAATCTAGCTGTGAGACTGCTCACAACAGACCAGATACTCCTGACTGTAGGGATTTTTTGAGGTGTTCAGTCTAAAATGCTGTTTGAGGAAAATAGCATCAAACATAGCAGTCAAACTAAGGAAAATTTTAGATTGTAAATAGTTGCTGTCATGAGCTTCAGATGAATTCATGTCCTTGCCCTAAGTGTCAGTCTTCCATTTTGAGATCTTTCCACTCCTGTCTGCTTTCTGAAATGGCAGCATAGTAGATCTTTCTAAAGCTGCTTCCTTTTAGTAGATATGTTGCTGAGTTTCAAGAAAGAGAGAAAAAATACCAAACATCCCCCCCCCCCCCCCCAAAAAAAAAAAAAAACAAACAACAACACCAAAACAAAACAACTCTGAAAAACAACCCTCAGCTTTTTATGGTTTGCTCCAAGTTAAGCTCTGTGCTGTCTCTTATGCCTTTCAGCTGTAACCTGTCCTGCCTTAGAAATGCCTCTTCATGGTGCTGTGAACTGCTCCCACCCCTCTGTGGAGCTCACCTGGGGTGCTACCTGTGAGTTCACCTGCGAGGAAGGATTTACCCTGACAGGACCAGCCACACTGCAGTGTGGGTCTTCTGGGGCTTGGGACAGGCAGCAGCCATCCTGTGCAGGTACCTTTCCTTAGCCTGGCTCCCTTGAGTGCTTGGGGCCGTCAGCATTGGCATGTTGAATTCCTGAGGCACCTGTGCTGACTGTGCTTGGGATCTCTGTGTTGCAGCTGTGCGGTGTGAGGCTGTAACCTGGCCAGAAGGCTTTGTGACTTGTGACCACGCTCCTGCAGATCTTGCTTATGGCTCACGTTGTGATTTCCGCTGCAGTGAGGGCTATGTTCTGGATGGCCCATCCAGCACTGAGTGCACAGCACAGGGACAGTGGTCAGAGCCAGCGCCAGTATGCAGAGGTAAGCCTTAATGGGTTGGAAGTCATCAGTTAAAGCTTACAGTAGCTTGAGTAGTCTGAAGAAATTTCCTCATTTAAGTGTAGTCAAGGAATAACAGTCACCCTCAGTGTGTTTTTAGCACTCTTCATAAGCAGATCTCGTGATGGGCATCATTAAGTGTCTTGTATTAAAGAGGAAACAGCAGTGCAGGGTGATAAGGAACACTTGGGAACTGTGTCTGCAACACATGTGACAACAGGCTTTTGCGGTGGAGTGTTCTGACAGGAACTTTATTCCGTACATCCTAAATGGGAACCAGTGTCTGTTTATACTCCGCTAGTGGACTGCATAATCCAAAGCCAGTCTCACTATAGCTTGCAATGCTTCAAGTGCATATTTAAGGGTTCTGGTTGCACTGTGCAACGTGCCAAAATCACTGTTTCCTGAGACACTGCTAGGTCTGAAGGGAAGTGTTTTGGCTCTGTAGGGCACAGCTTGAGACAGGGCATGTCCTCTTGTCAGCTAAAAGAGTGTTTGACTTGACCTACACAAGCTAAGCTCTGTGCTGTCTCTTACGCCTTTCAGCTGTAACCTGTCCTGCCTTAGAAATGCCTCTTCATGGTGCTGTGAACTGCTCCCACCCCTCTGTGGAGCTCACCTGGGGTGCTACCTGTGAGTTCACCTGCGAGGAAGGATTTACCCTGACAGGACCAGCCACACTGCAGTGTGGGTCTTCTGGGGCTTGGGACAGGCAGCAGCCATCCTGTGCAGGTACCTTTCCTTAGCCTGGCTCCCTTGAGTGCTTGGGGCCGTCAGCATTGGCATGTTGAATTCCTGAGGCACCTGTGCTGACTGTGCTTGGGATCTCTGTGTTGCAGCTGTGCGGTGTGAGGCTGTAACCTGGCCAGAAGGCTTTGTGACTTGTGACCACGCTCCTGCAGATCTTGCTTATGGCTCACGTTGTGATTTCCGCTGCAGTGAGGGCTATGTTCTGGATGGCCCATCCAGCACTGAGTGCACAGCACAGGGACAGTGGTCAGAGCCAGCACCAGTATGCAGAGGTAGGACTTACTGGGTTACAAATACAGTTTCTTGTCACTGGACAACACACTGAAATTAATATTCCTGAAGGGTCATGGCTGCAACCTAAACTCTGTGCTGTGTCTCTTGATTTAGGCTGTGACTTGCCCTGCGTTAGAACGTTTCCCATCCCAAAGTCAAAAGAATTTAAAAATACAGTATAGATCTAGTGCAAAAAATAAGGCCAAAGACAGGAAAGTCCTTGATGATTCTTAACCATTTCTTTCTGCATTTCAGTTGTACAGTGTGAACCACTGAGCTCCCCTGAGAAAGGCTCTATGGATTGCTCAGATAGTTCTGGGAACTTCACATATAGCACAGCGTGCCACTTCAGCTGTCTGGAAGGATGGATGCTGAATGGTTCTCATGTTCTTGAGTGTAATCATTCAGGAAACTGGAGTGCAAGTCTGCCCACATGTGAAGGTATTTTATCTGTGACTAGCTACAAAAAAAAGGTGGCACTGGGTTTCTAGTCAGGTGATGTATAGAAGGGTGGAGGAGGTAAAAAAGACCACCAGTGAGTTAGAACTTCTAGTGGAGTGCACGAATTAAAAAGGGCAACAGAGTTGCTCAATATATTTCTTGAAAAATATATTTATAATATAAATATAATATAATATATGGTTTTTAATTTAAACATTTCTCATGTTGAACTTTTTCCATATGAATAAAGAAAAAAATCTTTTCCAGAGAAAATGAACCTTGTGGGGAAGTTTCCATTCATAAGTATGTTTCTCAGTTGAAAAGTTTATAGGTTTATTAGTTTGTTGTGATAGATTCTTGGGTTCTCAGCCAAAAGACCTCAGAGAGCTTTTCTGTCAGAGGCTGTAATTTTGCAGAAGTCTCAGCCTCACCTTTCCATTCAAGGCTGTAGGAGCTCTGTCACTGTCCTCAGTGGGAACATCATTGGAATTAAAATATAAACTGAAACATGAAAGATAAGATAAACTGAAGTTGTCATGTGAGGCTGGAGGTTAGTCAGACCCTGGTATAACTACTTGTTGCCTTGCTATTGCTTTGGCAATGGGTGAGATAATTTTTGGTATGTACCTTCTACCATGTCCACTGGATGTGTCTTGGCAAGAGAAAAATTAAGGATTACAAGCTGCAGGGTTCATCATGAAGTGCATAAGGAATAGGAAGAAGTAGAGAGAGCTTCAAAGACCACACATGCCTCTTCAGCTCACTGAAACTTCTTCATCCTTTCAGCTTCTGAGCAAGTCAGCTATATCTCTGTAGGAGTAGCAGCCACAAGTGCCTCTCTGTTGTCCACGGCATCATTCCTCCTTTGGCTTGCAAGACATTTCCGAAGAAAAGGTGAGCAGTTGGATTGGGTCCACTGGATCTACTTACCGTCCTGCAAAATTTACAGTGGAGAAAAAAAACCCAACTCTCCAAATCCCAATACCTAACTTTTTGAAAAAGTGAAAATTCCCATATTTAAATTCCAAAATTATTTTCAAGAAGCCTGCATGTGTGCTATGTTTGTCTTCTGGATGAACATTTGAAAATCAAATACTGTAAGATCCCAAATGTTTAGATAACAAAAATTAGGAGGATAAAAGCAACATTTTATGTGTTGGTAATTACTGCCAGGGACAGTGAATGGGAATTTGAGATGGGGCTTATGACAACATAGTGGTAACTGCATGTGAGATTTGTTGCTAGATAATGGCTTTTTATCAGGTATTCTTAAATGAGAGGGGTTTTTAGTAGAGGAAAAAGTTTGCATGAGGGGGCTTTAATCTTGAAAGGCTAATACCTTTTCTTATTCTTCTTGCAGCAAAGAAATTTACTCCTTCCAGGTAAGTTGTGTCTCAAAAAGCAGCATGAGCAGCACTGCGATCATTTTGCTAAAATCCATTTGTTATAAACTAGTTGTCATTAAAATACTTTTCACTTCTGCTTTTTATAGTAGCTGTCAAAGCCTAACAATTGAAGGTAGTTTCCAAAGTGCTGGCCAGACTGTCTAACTCCAGGTGTTTCAGGTAAGCACATGAGAGCACTGCACTCACAAATTCTCTTCCTTTTAATCACACAAGCCGTCAGAGCTGTTAATTGCTGAAGTAGCAATATGTGCTTTGGGGTACCCAATATGTGCCTTGGCATTGCATGAAAGTTCCTAACAAGACTGATGGATTTATTGCTTTAGAAATGGTTATTCAGCTCCTTGAGGATCTTTGTGGTTACTATTCTGTCCAGCTGCATATAGTATTAATAATGCTTTTATGTGGTTTTTCTACCTGCTGCATATAAAATTCCGCTGAAATGAGAGCAAATACAGATCTATGCTGATTTTCCAATTTATAGAAGAATTTGTTCTCTCTGCAGGAATTGAAGCCATCTTTACTTTTGTCTCGGATTTCCAGAGAGTGAAACTGCATGCAAATCAGCAGCTGTCCAGATGTTTTTACCCCTTGCTGACAAGATGATTGACCTTGTGTATTGTTCAGAAATGCTAAACTCAAGCTGTCTGGTATTTCCATTGAAGACAAGCAGAGTAAAAACCTCTGGCCTTCTGGCAAAATACTGTCTACATTAAGTCATGTAGTTATCATAACTGGGAGCTTGCCATCTCTTGTCCAGATGGTGAGCAAATAGTAAGCTGCTGCCTAAAGAGGAGGCTGGTTTCTCCTCTGGGCTACTCAAGGGTACCTAGGTGAGGTGAAGACATGCATTATTTCACATCACTTACTACACTGCTGGAGATGTCTCCTCTGGAGACATATGGGTTACACTTGCAGAAACAGAATAATCAGGATCAAAAAATATTTATTGACTAGTTTTGAAACCATTGATCTGGTTTGTTGTTGAAGTCAATTTCAGAGGATGTCCCAGTCAAGAAATACACCTGTAGTGCTTATATTAGGTACTCTGGTTTCTGAATGCAGCAAGTAGATCTGAAATGGTCTCATCCCTGTGGGATTATGTACTGTAATACAGGTGTATACACAAATTTAATTGCATTTTTTACTATGGATACTTCTGTGATCTTAACTAAATGGATTATAAAATACTTGTTCTTGAGTAGGTCTGTGGCCACTGCTCTGGCCCCAGGTAATCTTAAAATAATTCAGAGGTGTTTGTAAGGATTTCATGCCTACATATTATTTACAAATACAGTGGAAGCCTGAGATGTGTGTGTGTATATATATTGCAAGTATGATTTATTAAACTGTTAAAGGACTTCAAATGAGAAGGTCTTAAGTTATGCTTAAGTTATAATTATAAATTAAATATCTTTGTCTTAGAATCTGATCTGTATTGTCCTGTTTGTAAAATTATTTAATAAAATGTTTTAAATGTAATGTTCCCTTTTTGGACATGTGCATCTTTTAAATGATTTAGGTCAGCCCTGTGGATATGGCTTCAACAGCAGAGTTTGAGGGGTTGGGGAAAGACTGGCAAAATAGCAAGACTGTCCCTTATTTAGATTTTAATGTTTTCACAGCAGTCAAGGAAAGAGTAGCCAGCAGATGGCACTGACAGCCAGAGCTGGACTTCAGCATCCCCAGTCCTGAAAAGGAGGAGGGCTCAGCGATGTGTCCCGTAAAGCAGGTGCCTGGAGCAGCAGTGAACTTTGTGAGAGACATGCTCAGGAGGGAAAGGAAAGCAGAAAGAGAAGCAAATAGATGATTTTTGTGTATAGTTAACAGTACAAACTCCTCAGCCCACACAGGTCTTTTTCAGACCTCACTGCTGGGAAGTTAGATGAGTGTGGGAGACATGGGCTAATAGGTGGAAGCACAGCTCTGGGGATTAGCCGTGACTGCTATGTAGGGACCTCTGCTCCACTGTTGCCAAAGGCTCAGGTACTCATGGTAGTCAGCCACTCCTGTGATTGCCTTTTCCCACCCCCTGACATAGTCAAGGAAGCTGCACTGTGGCTCTCTGTAGCTGGTACCAGGAGCCAGACCTTGATGATAAATAATGAGGCGCATTCCTGCCCTAGGTGAGACTTCAGAGAACCCATCATACCTGTGAGCAAGGGACTTAGTTAAGAGATGCTGTGCCTCAGTGGACAGGGCCCATTGCTGTTTATCCCAAACTGATTAAAGAACTGAGAGTGTCTGTCAGTGCTTCCCCCCGCCTTGACAAGGTAGGGCCCAAACATGTGAGCAGATGTAGAGCAGTAATCCTTCAGGTTCCCTGAGGGGATGTAGAGATTAGCCCGAAACGCCCTGCTCTGAATCCCTGCAGGAGCTGTTTGAGAGATAAACCACCACATGGGTCCCCCAGCCAGTCCTTGTTGTCCTTGTCCTGTCCTCTGTGTGTGTGGTCCTGTAGCATCCTCTGGAGTGAGCTGCTCAGGCTAGTGTGGCTCCCACTCTGCTGCAGCCAGGGCAGCTCAGCTTCTTCTTTCCTGACCCCAGAGATGGTGCTTCTAGAAGTTTTTCCTGGGATCTTACAGGGGCTTTATTGTGAGAAAAGAGGCTATAAAATTATCCTCTCTCTTTCTCCAAGCATTCACACCGTGACTTCTAGAGGCAGCATGAGTGAGATATTTGGGTGGAATTAGTCTCTCATATATCTCCTAGGCCAGCCAAACACTCCTCAGAGGGGATCTCCTTCCTTACAGTGACTTTTAGGTTACACCTATTCTCATAATTAATGGTAGTCCAGGGCATAGGCAAAACTCTAGCCTGTGCTTGTCCAGGCTCCTTGATTAGAATCATAGAATCATTAGGGTTGGAAAGGACCTTAAGATCGTCTAGTTCCAACCCCCCTGCCATGGGCAGGGACACCTTACGCTAAATCATATCACCCAAGGCCTCGTCCAACCTGGCCTTGAACACTGACAGGGATGGAGCATTCACAGCCTCCCTGGGCAGCCTATTCCAGTGCCTCACCACCCTAACAGGAAAGAATTTCCTCCTTATATCCAACCTAAACTTCCCCTGTTTAAGTTTTAACCCATTACCCCTTGTCCTGTCACTACAGTCCCTAATGAAGAGTCCCTCCTCAGCATCCCTATAGGCCCCCTTCAGATACTGGAAGGCTGCTATGAGGTCTCCACGCAGCCTTCTCTTCTCCAGGCTGAACAGCCCCAACTTCCTCAGCCTGTCTTCATATGAGAGGTGCTCCAGTCCTCTGATCATCCTCGTGGCCCTTCTCTGGACTTGTTCCAACAGTTCCATGTCCTTTTTATGTTGAGGACACCAGAACTGCACACAATACTCCAGGTGAGGTCTCACAAGAGCAGAGCAGAGGGGCAGGATCACCTCCTTTGACCTGCTGGTCACACTCCTTTTGATTAGTCCTCTTCTGGTATTGTTTTGGTCCTGCTTCTTCAGGGTATGAATTACCAGTTATGACAGTTATGGTGTATCCAGGCCTTAAGTATCTTCAGGAAGTAATTCTATTTTCTGTTGCATTGCCTGGGAACACTGCTCTTCTGTTTGCTATCTGTATAGTTCCTGTGCTGGCAAGAATGGCCATGGGAATGTTTGCTGCCAGGCAGTCATTTAGAAACTCCATCGAATCACTCCTCTATATAGTGCTGTGCGACCACCAAAGGGCCACAAGGGGACTTTTCTTATTTCCTGTTGTTCCATTTCCCTGAAATTCCTCAGCTATCCCTGGGCCTGTGGCATTGTTCAGAATGGGATCAGCGTTTTGCCTGGCATCTTATTTTGGGGCGGATGTCTGCTTGTGCCATTACCTATGGAAGCTGTGAAGGTGACATTAACTGGGAGGCACGCGTGTCCTTTCACATCTCTGTGTGTTTGCTGCTTGGCAAGGGGATGCTTTTTGTGGCACAACTTATCACATTCCTGATGAACCAAACTACCTGGGTGGCTTTAGCTTTTAAATCTACAGCCCGACAGAAGGAGGCTTAGAAACAAAATTTAACTGAAAGTCTCAGACAGGTAGTGTTTGATTTGGGGTGGGTGTTTCTGTGGCCCTTGGTGATATGGACAGTATGAGACCTACCCAAGTTGGGTTTCTGCCTTCTATTTTCATAAGCAATTAGCCATCAAACAGTCATTTACCAAGGCCTGGCTGAAGCTGCCTTCCAGAGCTTCAGTTTTCAAGGGTTGGACTGGACCCAACATTTGGCCAGGAGCTTTTCACTCATGAAGAAAAGTCACTGCTACAGACTAGAGACTGACCGTCTTTGCCGCTCCTTGCGTGCTTTGCTGAGGACTGGCAGCAGGGGCTTTGGAGCAGCAGCTCCCATAGGAGTTGGTGTCGTGATCAAATCACTAACCTGCTCAGCTCCTGCTCTGGGAGCTGTCAGAGGATATTAGGGCCAGGAGGCTGCCACATTGAAACATACAGTGCCTGTGCAATGCAACACACTCAAGCCTCTGTGAGCCTGGTTTCTGTCCTGAGACTTGCTCCTGTTTGGATTCCTCTGGTCCTTGCAGGGGGCTGGCTCCGTCCTCTTGGCTTGAGAATGCTGCTAATGTGTGGGTATTTGGTTGAGGGGTTTTCAGCCTACAGGTGCAGGGGAGCAAGTTGCGATGGTGAGCTTTTAAGGACAGAAAGGTCCACAAGATTGCTGCTTCCTGGGATCCATAACTTACATCAAATGAGAAATACAGCATGTGTTTGCCCATGGACAGGCATCCTCCTGTTTGCAGTGGGCAACAGAGCTTGGTGGAGGGCAGAAAAGCAGGCAGCAGAGCCCAGGCTGTCATAGCATTTGCACAGTTGTACAATGGACTTCCCTAGCCTGGTTTACAGCCTCTCTCATGCACACCTGTAGGGAGAAACAAACAAAATTGCAGGTTAGATTTGACCAGTGAGTCAAAACTTTCTAGATGGTTATCGTTCCTCACCTGGCACTTAAATCTCACTGAGAAGGGAGGCAGACATGGCCAACATAATTCAGCTGTGGCTCTGGTGGTGAGAAAGAAATACACATCCCAGAAACCATTTCCACAGCTGATGATGGCCAATGCTTTCTGATGCTCAGGAAAGCTGCTGCCAAGAACAGGACAGTGTGCAAAAAGCATGAATGCCTCCTCAGCAAGGCAGCAGATGCCCCCGGACAGCTGCCAGCAAGTTTTCTACCTGCCTTCCTACTTCTGGAAAGGACGTTCCCTGAAAAGCCCAACATTTGCTTTGACTTTCAGCCTGGGACAAGTGGGACCTTCATCAACTTCTCGCCTCACCAGCTGCCATGAAAGCAGCAATGGCAGGTGTGAAATTACAGGTGACTTGTTTGTTTCTGGCACTGCAGTGCTGTCATTTTGGGCTTTTGACAGCCTCCAAGAATGCGCAAAGAGGGAAACACACTGAATCCATGCTTTCTGGAGCAGGCCTTTGGTCATAGAGCATTTGGGTGGAACAAAAAGGGTTAAAGAGCAGACAGGAAACACTTTGTTCAGGGCTTATTCTACAGAATTATTTCTGGGAAAGGAGGGGCTGCAATCAGGCAGGATGTATTCACTTTGGGATCTCGGGAAATCAAGCCAGCCTGGCCTAAACCAAGAAGAAAATACAGCACAGCCCTCACTGAATGAAACAACAGCTTCCCCCTTCGCCTTATCTTGTGCCAGTGCAAACAGTCCAGATAACATACAAATCAGACATCATGAAATGGTGGCGTCACATGAACAACCAAGGTATACCATGGGGAAGTGACATGGTTTGAGCAGAAAGACACTGGGGGACAGAAAGTCCTAGAAAGCCCTAAGATAGAAAGGGCATTCTCTAGTCCTCACTGTAGTTGCTCCTCCCTTGCCTCAGTTGGTAGCAGGGACCCCAGTTTGATCACTGGCTGGGGAGCAGGGCATGCTGTTTGTGTCACAGGGCTGTTCCCAGACTGGAGTCTGATCTGGATGGTCCTCAAAGGCAGCAGAAGAAGTCTCTATAGATGAGTTAGGAACTGCTGAGCCATTTAATGTGGAAGATCTTTGCTCCTTCACAGCTAATCGCTTCTGACCAACAAACCCTCTGCAGACAACCAGATGTAGCAGAGGTTCTACTCTGTCAAAGGTACTTGTGGAGAAAAACTGACCTGTGTCAGTAACCTCTTCCAACTAAAGGCAGAGGATTTGGCTGAAGCTCTTGATGGTGATGAAGTAGTCATCATGGAGTTATGCAGGAGGGAACAGGGAGACAGAGGGAAACACAGCTCCATCTCTGTTTTGCAAGACACTTCTCGCCTATCACTTGCGCTCTTCTCCCTGGCTTTTTTGCTGGGTACAGGGCTTGGGGTAGAGGTGATGGGCCCTTGGAGGAAAGAGTGGCATTTTGCATTGTGTGAGCAATTGGTAAAGCTACAGTGAATTTTGCATGCACTGCTCGGACATGCAGAGTTTGCTTAGGCTGGTGGTTTGTTTGCACTAATGGCAGG